AAAAAAAAAAAAGAAACCCAACAAACCAGTCCGTACGAAAAACGTGCCGAGTAATCAGGAACAAAAAGGTGGGAAATATAAGTTGTACACAAGGTTTTTTTAACCCAAGAACAAAGATGACTCCTAACTCGTTAAACCGGATAACCTCCAGAAATAGGAAGAATATAGAAAAAAAAAGAAAAAATTTAAAATGAAAGCTTGCTACAATAGTCTACAGAAGTGGCACGGTGTATCGAGCAAAGTTCAGCAGAATCAAATATTTTGAGCGGAACGAAATTGTACTGCATTCGTTTTGCAGGCAATTTATTATTAAAACGCAATCGTTCTTGTATAATCAGATAAAAATAAAGTCAAAGGACTTTGTAATGATTTCTTCACATAGATATGCATAAGACGTCTACTGTCTAAGGTCGCCTAATAGAAATAACCAAAGAAAAAAAATTACGATCGATAAGGTTTGGAATGTTGCAGCTAACATATAATAGCAGTAAACAAGTTTACCAATGCAATAATAATTTTCAAATGTTCTCATATTTTTATTAAATCATTATTAAGGCAGTCATGAAGTCGAAATACGAGTAGTTTTAGTCAAAAAAATACCGGTTATTGGTCTTAAAAGACTAAAACACCTCTGCATTTGTTTATGCTTTGCTGGCAGTGAAGAATAAGACGGTGGACTGCATTTATTAGACTCTAAGTATTTTGCATTAGATAATAATATCAAAAACACCAACAAAATATATTAAAAAATTCTATTGTTTCCTAAAATAAACAAAATCAAGCTTGGAAACCGGCAGCACAAATAGAGAAATGAAAAAAATTTTAAATCAGTGCCAGGTACCTAAGGTATCAGAGATCGTTACAACTGGTAACTTACAAATCTTCAGACATGCGAATCGTAGACGTGTACCGTAATCTGCACTAGATCCATGGAAACTGCTTAAAATCATGCGAATTTAAGAAGCAATGGCCATGTAAAAATGAACCTTCAATTTCCTGTTAGTTCCAAAACTCGTATTCGTCTTTACAACCGTCACAGACAGCTCTCTCTTTTAGATAAACTCAAAACTGCAATGCATTCTAAGAAACAAAAAAATATCGCTTTCACACTTTACAATCATCTCATTTTGATTTAATAAGCAAAATTCTAAGCAGGTAAACCAGTTGTCATATTCGATAAGTTCTCAAAGACAACCGGCAGTAAAAATAGTTGTTTTTCAGTTTCACGTACTGTCAACTCAAAACCTTAATGCAGACAAATAAAATTACTATGATTTACAACAATTCCTCTATACTTTTTAAACTCTGTTACCGCTGCAAATAATTTCACTTTTAGAAGCATTTTGGAATTAAATTGTAACTTTTAGGCAGTGCGTAAAACAGCTCAATTTTTAAAAAATTTGAACAGCTAAGCTTTACTGGTATTTGCTCCAGCATTCCTGTTTTATTGCACTGAGATTAAAATCTTTTAATACGAAAAAATTTAATGTTTTTACCCATTGTTAAATTCTTTTTATTTATGTTTACTGAAGAAATTTTATTAAATAAAGTTTACAGCCAAATTATTCTTTCTAATCTCTATTTGAAACTTATTTTTTTTTCACTGCAAAACATTAGTTCCCGAATACTTTACTTAAACTTGATAAGAAGAGCAAAACAAAGCAGTGTCAAAAACTAAAAAACTCAGCTTTTTTGTAATTGATACTGCTATGCAAGCAGAAACTACTGATAGCCTAGAAAATTGCCAAAAACTATTACATATCACCTCCTACTACCAATAAATGACGCCACGAAAAACAACTTTGAAAACGGTGATTTATCTGAATTAAAATTACAGGCTATCAGAGATTAGGCAAAATTTTGGCAACATATTTTCCTTCTTAGGTTGGACAAACAAAGAATTTTCTCTTGTTTACACAGGTTTCATTTTTAGCTGATATATTTAAATATTTAGCCGCTAGAATTTTTATAGCCCTCTAATATCCAAAACTGTAATGAATCAGTCTTAGTTCAGTTCTGCTGTAGTCTGAACGTTTCGGTCGTCGTTTGTTGCAGTTCTTTCTTCCCAGTTGTTAAGGTGATAATCAGCCATAAAGTAGTGTACAGTAAACATCGTCATCAATATACTTAACCAATAAGAAGCTAACTAGGTTGGTTTCAGCAAAAATTCATATTCTAACAGTGGGATGGAAAACAGTTATTAAACCTCTTAAAAATAAGGCCTTTATTTCAGTGTCATTTGAATTGTCAAATTATCATCATATTAAAGTTTTTATGGAAAATGGCAAATTTGCCAGTACTAGTGAATACACTTTTCTGTTGCGATTACTTAAAACCTTATTGCAATAGTTCAACAGTCGACTGACCAATGATATCAATGATTTTACACCTGCAAACTAAGCCTTAGCGATTTGTCTGTACAGAAAACCTTTAAAAAATTTTCATCATAGTTCGTCTTCTTCTTTTCTTTCATGTTATTTCTTCACTGCTGGATAGACTGTTGAGGATTTGCTAGGCAGAGAGCAATAAATGAAAAAAAAATTAGTTCTAGATACAAAGATTGGGGTGTTCTGTGCTGCGGTCAATCTTTCGCAACTGTAAATAACGAACGGGCAATAACCGCTAAATGACTGGTGTTTTTATATGAATTTGCGAAGTAGACGCCGACACGGACAAATACTACGCATATGTTTACAGATAGAAACGTATCGAGCAGCGCACCCACAGCAACGCAGTTGGGAAAAAAACAACAGTGAACCAATACCATGAAATATACCTACCATGCACTGACTGATCACCCTGTAAAACCATCGTGGCAATCAGCTGTGCAGCTGAATTATGCTCTGCTCGCGAGCACGTATAAAAATACACGGAGGTTTGGTGAACAAACCGATCCCTCCCTATATGGTCGGCAATCATTTCCAACATACAATCGATTAGTCTGTTTAGAGCCTTAATAATCGGGCATACTGCTGAATGTACCCTTTCCAACTGAAGTACCTCAAAAATTGTTATTATTGCACTGTCAAGTGACAAAACACCTAATCACTTATTCGTTATTCATTTTAGGACTGCAAAGTTTTGAAGGTAAACATAGGCAGATAGGTGGAAAGATGTTGGCAGCAACATCTGTAAAAACAACAAAAACTGTACGCTGCCAACAGTGCAAACTTCAACCATCTCCTCTGCATTCAAAAAAATTATAAAAAAAGTTATTTTTGACAAACTGCTTCATGATCACTTTTGCCAACCCCGTTGCATAACAAACAATCATTTGCTTAATATTCCAATTGAACAGCGACTATTAATTGCAAATTATAGTGTACAGATAACTCACTGTCATAGTGAACATATCGCAAACTCCTGTTCAGTGACGGTACAGCTAATTAGAGCAAATTTTTTCCTCATCCGGAAACGACAAAACAGCAAAAATCCCCTTCTTATGTTGTTTTTTTTCCGTTCCCAATTTTTTAGCTGCATCTTCACAGTCGATGTAAGACATTAAATGGCACGCAGCAGTCGAACCGTAAAACAAATGATCTCTAGTATCAGTTTTTCGCTAATCCTAAATGAACAGAAACTA